GCTTAAAATTATCAAATTCACCCCCAGGCGTGCGTAGTTCTCGTGTTCGAGCACTTAAATTTTTGGCGGGAAAATTACTCATTGAACGGCTAGGTCATTTTCAAAGAACGATTGCCAAACGGAAGTTGTTTATTTTTTTTTATGCAAAATTTGCGATGATTTACGGTATTGAGAGCACAAGGTAGGTGTGAAGAAACGAACCACTCATGCAGTTAACCTAATTACTTCAAGTCTGATGCAAAAACGCATGATCGCACTGGCTCGCTTGGTGCGTTCCAGCCTGGGTTTGTCTCATGTTCATTAATTATGAATAAATAATGACGCGCACCAAAGTAGCTGGCGGGATCGTGCGTTCTGTGCAACCCTCTCCAAACGAATGTTTGTGCAATTCTGTTTGGCGGTTACTTTTGCAACCTTGTCCAGCGGATGCTTATGCAGTTCTGTTCAAGTGAATCTTGCTGTTAAAAATGTTCACTACATTACTGTTTCATAAGTTACATGTTAATTTCGGCGCCAAGGCTTTACTATTTATGGTTTCTGAGTTATTAATTTTGACACCAAAACTTTCATTTGTCCGTGCATGAGGTGTGTGTAGGAATGAATTTATATACGGGCAGGGAGCATTAGCCTAAGGCTTCGTAGCTTTTGTGATTCATGGGCTATTAATTTTGGCGCCAAGACTTTCGCGTGCCCATATCTGAGGCTCAGGTGTGCGCAGGGATTGAATTTATACGTGTGCATGAGCATTATTCTGAAATTTCAGCTTCCCATTTCTCACTGTCTCCGAGTCACTAATTTTAGCGCCCTAAATCCTGACGTGAGCACAAGGCAAGCAGGTAAGCTAATTTTGAGTTTTGCGGAGTCATACACGGGCAAAGGACTTCCTAGTTTTCAATCTCCTAGCTTTCCTGGTCGTTGGACTTAATTTTGGCGCCAAAAATTTCACGTGCCCTTACGTGGGACTAAGGCATACGGAGAAGCTGAATTGGAGTTTGTGGCATCATACGCGGGGAAGGGACACCCTCCTAAAATTTCAGACTTCTAACTTTTCCGGTTTCCGAGTTAATTTTTGCACCAAAACTTCTACGTGTCCTACGTGAGACCTAGGCGCAAGTGAAGGCTAAATTTAATTTTGCAGGATCATATGCGGGCAAGGAATATTCTCCTAAAATTTCGGCTCCTTACCTTGTGTCCTTCCTGATTAGCTTGGACGTAAAGACTTCCAAGTGACTGTACGTGAAGCGTAGGTGCGTGCAAACGCTGAATTTGAATTTACGAAGTGACAGGCGGGTAGGGGGTCCCTCTTAAAATTTTATTTTCCTGGCTTCGCTGGTTTCCGAGTTGACTCCCGCACAAAATGCACTCAGAACACACACACAAACACGGACAAACACACAGACAGGGTCTCGAAAATGTGCGCTTCGTTTAAATGTTGCAGCACAAAACGCATCAAAAGCGGCCTTTGTTGCGAAGCTGGTTCCTGTGACTCAAGCTCTTGTTAAAGGACGGGAATATTAGAAATAGTATCGAAATTTTCAGAAGCCAAAGAATAATATCGAAATTTTCAGAATCCAAGAAAGAATAAGATGTTTGGCAGACATGATTATTTTTTATATGCTTTGTGCTATGTAACAGTAGCGTAAAACATATATTGTTACCACTGTATTTGTGTGTGTGCGTTCGAGTGCGTTTTATACTTCCAACTCGTGAACACAAAAGCTAGGAGGCTGAAATTTTGTGCAATGTTCCCTGTTTACATGCGGCCTCGCGGATTTAAATTCAGCTTTCATGGACCCTTACGCCTCGCCTTTTGCCACTTGAAAGTTTTAGCAGAAAAAAAATCATCTCGAGAATCAAAAGAGCTGGATGGCTAAGATTTCAGGAGGATGTTTTCTGCTATGCAGGAAACTCACAAACTCAAATTTTCTCCCCAGTCATGCCAAGGTCAAACGTACATCTGCATTAAAATTTTGGTGCGAAGGTCACAAATTCGAAAACCAGAAAGCTGGAATTTTAGTGGTTGTTCCCCGTCCATGTATGATCCAAAAATTCAAATCCAGCCTTCATGCACGCTCATGTTTCATGTACCGGTAGATGAAATTTTGAATGGGGAACTTCGCAGCTTTGGAACCAGACAACGTACCGACAATTTTTGAACACACGAAAGTGCAAAACACTGGAAGTTCTTAACAGACAAACGTCTGCAGAATGGAACCGCGCAGAACGTTTGATAGCACAAACTGCCCTGGTGCGTGTCGCTGTTTATTCCATTTCAGTCCTTACATCGATTGAAATGGGCGTGATAAGACGGAGACTAAGTTTTCCGAGCTTTTCACGGCCTGTTTTGAGACAGTGTTTGTAAGTTGGATTAGAAAAGTAGTTTGCCTTCATTGGCGAGCCCTTATCCATTTACTGTTTAAAAGCTGCATTGTTATCATCGTGAACAGCCCTTGAGAGATACATGAGTTACCGCGATAGCTTGAGGAAGTAGACCTGAAAATCAGTGCATCAGAAAAGAATGTGATGCAAGGCGCTGGCATGCCTACAGTAGGGTTGCTGGTGGATGGTGTTGATTTGACGAGAAATATGCGCTACAGTCTTTGAACAGAGATTTTCGGTTGGTAGAGATTACAAAGCATCGTCAACGTCCTCAAAATGTTAGGCCAGAATGACCATGCCCGTGTCTTCGATATCACTGTGCTCAAGGCAGTGACGTGCGTAGCGGAAACATGGTCAGTGACGAAAGTAATAAAGCAAGCGCTAGCTAAGACGGGGAAACTAACGACAACGAATTGAAGTGTCTCTTCACAACCGTATGAGCCGTCAGATGATGTGCGTGCAGAATGTAACTGTGACCACGCAAGAAAATAAAATTCAATGGGAAGGGTAAATGATCGCTTTGTTGATGACAGCTGGACGTCGTGTATTAGTGAAAGTTATGCTCGCTAGAAAATAAGCAGCCACTGCTCGGACAGCTTTTAAGAAAGCAGCAGATGGCAAATGCTAACTGGACTTATGTAGCTCAACATCAAAGGGCTCTGCTTTAGCACTGGATCATTTCTGACTTAATGTTGTGGACATTATTCATGCTGATGTGTCTAAGCAGATTGCAGCATCCAGGTTCACTCTGGAAGTGCAGGTG